TTTCAATCCCACGACTTTTTTCATGTCATTGATATATAAGCTTGCGTATTCCTAAAGGAGAGTGTGATAGTTAATAAAGTAAAGTCGAATTATAGGAAGCTTGGTCTACGGACCGTTCGTATGTGATGTTAAAATTAATAGATTCCCTCGTGTTCTCTCCATCCTCATGCCATTTGTTAAACGTCTGCCTCATTATTTATTCACACGTTTACAGCGCCTAGATGGAGTGAAAAAGTCCGGTGGAAAAGACCATTGAAAAGGCTCGGAAATAAACAAACTTGTACATTGATGTGTGAATGTAAATATATAATATATATATACATATATATTCTGTTCAGTTTATTATGTACTTTTATTTTTTAAGTACAAAGACTAAAATCACGTACCATTTGTATTCCCAATCATTTCTTTAGATTTGCATTCACTCAATCTCCCACAATGCTTTGCGAGAGCGAGCCCTTGTTTTACACCCATGCGCAACACGAACTTTATTTTCTCTTTCTCTTGTGCCCAGCTATTTTCCCCTTAATAAGAACCGAATATATTAGAATTTCCTTCGACCTCTTACGAACACTTGAAATGAAGGACAAACCATACATCCGAACAAGTGCAGAAGTCGCCTAACGGTCACATCGAGTAGTAAAAACGGTTATCAACATGAGGCCCGTTTAAATCCATATATTTCTCAGTCATCCGAATTTCGTTCTTAATTAGCCCTACCCTAAACTTGAGTATGGTCTTCTCTCAGTTGATTGTCCAAATAAAAGTGATAAGGTATGTAATTTATATTGAATTTGATAGAAAAAAAAGTTCTTGATTTGTCTAAGCCGTCAAGACGATGGATTGCACTTAATTTATAGTGATAGCACTCCACAAGATCAGGGTTGAATATATACAGTATGTGCGTGTTTGTGTATTTATCAAAGGCTAATATATGAAAGATAGGAAAGCACGTATAACACCGTTAAAAAATGTGAGGCTCAAAACTTCTTACAGCGTCATCTATTTTTCAGATATCTAACTCAGAAAGGAAAACATTAATAGGGGGACTATAGATTTATATAGATTTTTAATTACTTGTTTTAGTTTTAAAGGTTTAGTTTCAATTCAAGTTTCATTTTTTTTTTTTTAAATAAGAGACTTGAAATATATTCATCAAAGTATTGCTTCATATATATTTACATGGAATTATATAATTATTCCATTTTAAGAACTTTATTAGAGATATCTTTATATACTTTAAAATAAGTTTTTGCATTTTTTTTTTTTTATTAGAATATGACAAAACATATTTATCTATCTCATGTGTATGCATCCCAATGCCATCATAAGATTATTTCACTGTTTAAATACTATACAACTTTATTGCAGAAAATATCTTTGGTGTTAATACAATGAATACGAACTTAAATTCAAGCATACTTTACAATCATTCGGCATTAATAAATTCTTCATGTTTTTCATTCTTTTTCTTTTTTTTTTGTCATTGAAATCAAGAGTATGAAAAAACACATTTATTTTTTTTAATTTATTCGATTTCAAGTCATCATCATGAAAGTATTAATGAGGGCAGGCCTATAATCAAAACAGAACAGGAAGCATAAAACCTGCAAAAACAAAAACAGAAACAATCCCTTTCCTACCATTTTAAATAAGTGACGTTTCACGATAGTAAACAAACAGACGACACGTAACGTACACAGCGCCATCTATTGTTCAGATATCACATTATCCGTTTGGGCTCACAGACTTTTGCCATATTCTCCTATCTTTTGTATATAGTCTTTGGTAATAATATATATATACATATATATATATATATATATATATATATATATATATATATATGTATGTATGTATATATGCATATATGTATATAGAGAGATAGATAGATATATAGATATATGTATATATAGATATAGATAGATATATGTATATGTAGAAATATATATTTATATATGTATAATATATATGGAAATATATATATATATATATATATATATTATATATATATATATATATATAGTATATATGTATATATGTATATATATATATATATATATATATATATATATATATATATATATATATATATATATATATATAATATATATATATATATATATATATATATATATAATATATATAATATATATAAATATATATAATATATATCTATATATATATATATATATATAGGTATATATATATATATATATATAATATATATATATATATATATATATATATACATATATATATATTTATTTATTTATTTATTTATTTCTACATATGCTATCTATTCTGTCTATATATATATATATATATATATATATATATATATATATATATATATATATATATTATATTATACGTATACATAGACACATACATGTTATTTTTTATATATACATATGTATATATACATTTCTATATTATACATATATTATATGTATATTTTATACATACATATATATTTCTATATTTATATCTTTGTATA